GCACACCTGCGGAGCACCTACAGATGAAGAGGCATAGGGACACGGGAGATCAGCGTTCCACGCATTGAAAGCTTTCACCTTTTTTTTGACTCCAGTCTTTCCTCTGATCCTGGCACAGCTTATCAGCTGCACTACCCTTGTCTAAATCACAGCTCGTGATGTGCCAACACACACTACATGGGTTACCTGGTGGCTTTCAGAAGATCAGATTACCTGGTGTTAAAAAAAAGTAATTACTTCAAAAATATAGTACAGGCATAACATTCTGCTTCTCCGTTATTAAAAATGGATAGATTTGTACTGTAACATGACTAACACACACTATCTATCTTATAAACCCCATCTCAAACCTTAATCTTATCATAAACCCCAACAGAGGTAAGACGCAAACTTCTTTTGCCCTGAGGCAGTGCGGACATACCCGTATGAGCCAAAACTATACCCATATGAGCCAAAACTCTGCCTGAGAGCCAACACTCGACTCTGTCCTCCATATCCCCTGGCCAGTTTCTTGCAGCAGAGACAGGGTCAGACTGAGGATTTAGCTGTCACACCTTGAAGCCCCCCATTAAGGAAGCAGGCCAACAAATTTGGAAAAGAAACTCTTAACTTCTGCAATTTATGATTTGAAGGGCACGGCTTCTCTGGCATCCTTAGGTTCTTGAAAGATGAATGACCTTGTAGTACTACTGCTAAGAAGTAATAATGTCTTGCACTGATCAGGTAACAGGCAGTCTAGGAGATTAAATTCACCACCTATTTTGCTGGGAGGTGATCACAGGACACAGATTTTAAGTTCAATGTCAAGTTCAACTCGGTGAGTTATACTACAGATTAACCTGATCCTTTCAGTGTAATCTTGCTTTGCAACCCTGTTCCATCCTATTCACACGTACAAAGTCTTCTATATGAACATGCAGGAATTCATTAGAGTTTATCTTCTATCCGGACTTTAAATAATTACTGAATCTGATCTTCTGCCCCACCCTCTCTCTCTACAAAGCATCAGTTTGATTTATTCCCTGTTTTGAGCAGAGATACCTTCAGTCATTAGCACTTAGCCGCAGTGTCACGGGTGAGTCCTGTCCTGTATATTTAATCCTGAGTGGTTTCTGACTTGGCAGAGGTGACCTCCCTGTTGTAACTCTGTTGGCTGGCAGAAAAATAACTCTTCTATCAGAAATCTTGTACTAGATTGCAGGCCTCAGCCCTCTCTGAGGAGAAACTCACAGACTGCTTCTGATGCTCATCAGAGCCAGCTCCTGTGACACGCAAACGACAATGAGCCAAAATACTCTAACCCCAGTCTTCCCTCTTAACACAGCCTGTCACTCTTCTCCTGCACATCACGAGTACCTCGGCTGCTGGTTTAGGGAACCTCTCTTTGTGAAACCCCCAGACCTTTCATGGGCACTATGTAAAAACTGGAAAAAAGAACAGCAGCCCAAGCTACCCGTACGCATTTTCCTCAGCACATTAACCAACAGACAATGTGCACTGACATTTTATTAACAGAAAGTATGGAATACGTCAGAAGAACGTGAGGCTACTGATGGTGTAGGACAGGGCTGTAACGCTTTATCCATGCATCGTCAAGCAGCAAAGAGACCAAGTCAACATTTCGCTCCACCGTAGCCATGCCGGCTTAAAGAGCTGATCCTCTCGGCCCTCTTCAGAAGCACTAACCCCGGAGCCGGAGAGCATGCCATTCTTTCAGGACAGGAGTGGTCAAACTCCACCAGCCTGCAGCTGGCTTGGAACAAGAAGGAAAAGACAAGCCTGTACATAGGGACACCACCAGCCTAAGGGTGTTTTATGTCCACCTCTGTGCATGAATTAAGTGGGTCTTAGTCGGAGCTAGCGCTAATGGAGCTGCCCAAAGATGAACTTCCCAACGCAGGCACACCCACAGCACTACGGTCCCGCCAGCCACCAGTCCCTGTGGTTGCTCCCTGTTCAAACGAGCTGCACAGCGTCCCCCTCACTTCAGAAGGTATGGTCAAACTTTGTGCTGTCTACCTAGGGGCCGTAAAGACACAGTTCAGTGACACCCACACTGCCACCAGCGGCACGGCTGAAGCATGGATAGGTAAATCCATATCAGCTTCATTTCAGCCAGTACAGGAGACATCGTTGTAAGAGGAGCAGAAGCACAGACTTCATGGGGATTCTCAACTTGAGTGCATTCCCAGGGTCTGCAGCAGGGCAGCGCAGCCCACGCTGAAACCTGCTCTGCTTCATCTTCACAGAGACATCACAGACTACCAAGCTGCGCTGCTGTTTCCTCTTTAACTGCATCTGAACGATCTCAGAGCTGAACTTCACACTCCCCTCCATCAGCAGAGAGATAACTGTCCTGCTAGATGCTCCTGCTTACCTTCCCCTCTTCTACTGCACCTCCCCTCTGTCATCATCCCTTTTAGGATGGTATGCTACTGATCACAGTGACCATCTGCAAAGCTCCACAGGAGCCAAACAATGCTCAGAAAGAAAGACCGAATCCCTTATGATTTCTAGTTTCCTGAATCAACTGTACCTTTAAGTCTGCTAATTCTTTCAGAAACAATCTCACAGAATTAGCTCATCTGAATTTCTTGACCAGCTGCTGCAGCTGGTCAAAAAAATCCAACCCATCACTTAACTGTGATGGAAAGCATTGAAATGACGCTGGCAATGGCTACGTCACGGTGCCATTACAGCAGCTTGCCCAGAAACAGTCTTCTTTCTTGCCTGCATAGACCAAAAACGTGTGTATGTTCAACACCCCAAGGCCTCTCTTGGAGACACCAGAGGTATGACAAATCCTACTTCTGCTCCTCTCTTTCTCTGGGCACAAATACCACAGAACAGCCCAAACTTTTCCCTGCACTGTGACTGCAAAGAGTGGGTGACCCATCTGGACCCGGTGTGGTACGGTGCCTGTAACAGGAGCTGCACAGACACCCTGTGCCGGGGAGAGAAAAACGTTTAAAATCTTCGGTCTACCTGAGCAGCTTCTAAGATTCCCCGCTCAGCTGACAAAGTCTCCCTTCTCCAGGCGTGCACGGGGGACAGGTCTGAGTGCTACAGCCAGACCCTCTGCGCCTCCCCCATGGCTTTCACCCACGCCATCCAGCAGAACCTCCTGGTACAAACGTTTGCTTCAGCAGCCTCAAACGCAGCGCTCCGTCCGAGGGTAGCAGTCTCCCGTACAAAGGAGCACTTTTTACCTTCTAAGCCAATTCTCTGTACAGTTGGTGGTAAAACAATTACCTCATTACAGTCGCACACCAAATTCCCTTCTGGTGGAATTCACATCAGCACTACTGCAACTTTATAACATTTGCATTATAAAAATGTCTGCAGAGCAGGCCAAGAAAAACAGCTTTTTGTTCAGAGGAAGCTCTGTGGTCAAGATGATGTCATCAGAAAGCGCCAAATTAATTTCCTGTGGTTACATCCTACAGGAAATCCAAGAAGCTCAGCTTTCTTGCTAAACCAAGTAGTCATTTGTTGTCAATAACTGTTAATTATGTGCCCAGATGTGTCATAAACTAAGAACTACCCCGATTAGCCTTCGCTCCCTGGATTCCTCCCAGATCGATCGTTGGGATCTGTTTAGATCAGCAGCTGAAGTCAGTGAAACGCACCAGCCCTCGTGCCCCCGGACCAGCCCCAGGGCTCGGGGCACGGCGGCCGCTGCGCTTGCACCACACCAGCCTAGACAGTTTCGGGCTCTTTCCTTCAGCGCCCTCCCCGCATCGGGGGTCTGCGCCGAGAGAAACACCGCGGAGGAGGAGCAGCTACCTAGACTGGACTCTTAGCAGGAATAGGGACCCCTCATCAAGAAAGCTATAAAAACAACGATGAGTAACAGCTTTTCTGCTCTGCGTGAACAGAAACAAGGAAATCAGGAGTGATTCGGGAGGTTTTCCAGCTGGTAAAATCATCACGAGAATGTCTAGCAGGTCCCTCCCCCAGCCACAGTCCTTCCACAACCTACTGAAAGACGCATCTCTCCAAGGCTTACTTGATATTTAAATTATAAAATAACACTTTGGTAAAGCATTTAGCTAATTCAAATGGATCTTTTCAATGACTTATCAGTGGGAAACTGATCCCGCCCAGTTTTCAGATCTCCCCGAAACTACTTGCATTTATACGAATTCACACCTGCCCCGCTGCCTTCACCTGGCACGCAACCCACAAGCCCTCCGTTTTCCCATTCACAGCAGAGGGGAATCCACTGAGGGGGAATAGCTTTAGTATCTGTAACTTGCACTAAAATTACGATTCTGTCCGTACGGTGAACTTTCGGTAGGGATCTCTTGGGACAGACTCGTCAGTCCACGTAACATGCTTCCCTGGCCTGGCAGGGAGCCCAGCGCAACACCTCGAGAGCGGAACGGTAAACGGTCAGGGCAGATCAGATCCAGTCCAAGCAACCCTTACATCTTATACAACGATGTATTTTCAGGTTTGCATGGATTCTTTTCCTTTCCACTGCTTTTCAAACAAAGCATATTTTATGTGAACACTCGAGACAGGGAGCAAGCTCATTACTTGTCTGGGAAAGGCACAGCATAGGACGCACCCTAACGGAGTTTGAATCAGTAGCACCTGTATCACAGGGAAAACAAGAGCTGAGGACAGCCAGGGCTCAACTGCAGAGATGTTGTATTGACACCTGCTCGGCAGCAGCTTCAACCCTCGGTGCCCACAGCCTACGCACTGCGGGCACAGCGCACGGGAAGGGACAGCAGGGCAGAACGACGTGCTCAGAGCCACATGGAGACCAGAGGCAGGGGGAGGCAAAAGGACACACCAAGCATCCTGCCACTCTCACTCACATACTGTACCTACCATACAACCAATTTCCGTAACAAAAGGGAAGTGAACGGCTGGGAAGAGAAATCACGTAGCTTCCAAATTCTCAGAATAATGGGGCAGACAGAAAAGGCTTCTTGACATGTTTGTATCAGTGCTGCCTCCCAATTAAGTCTATTTAATAAACTTCCTACCTCTCTGTCCTTGAGTTTCATGGCGAGCACCAGCTGATGTCTGTGGTTAGTGAGGGCCTCCCGGTAATTTCCTTTGGAGAAGAATGCGGAGCCCAGATTTCCATGAGCTCGGCA